GGGACAGGAAGTCTCTCAGAAAGGCGTCCCATGGCTTGTGGTACGCTCACTTCGGACCTAGTTTGGGAATTCCGTGAGGACAAGCAGAATGACTGCACAAGTTTACTTATGTATTTTGTGACCCCCTGAAGCAGAGCTGGAACCTTGAGGTTCTCTGCTTCTTCCGGGCTTCCCACCCAGTTATCTCCAAACCTTCTGTGAGTGTAGCTGCTTATCCCTGTCACCAGGATCGCCAGGCGTAGGGGAACAGCCTTGTCCCAAAGCCACCCCCCTGTTTTGCTACCCTGTCATGACCTTTGGTCAGTGTTTATTGAATACCTCCTCTATGCCACATCCTTGGGAAACAAAAGTAGATGAATGAGGCACAGCCCTGACCTCAAGACTGGAAGGGTGGGGGAGGGTAGATAGCCAGGCAGGTCGACCATCACGTGCTAAGTGCATGACAAATGGGTGGACTGCGCTGGGGAACTGGCTCCTCCCGGTAAGTGGTGGACTCTCTGCTGCCCAAACACATGCCCTTTCACCCCATTCCATCCTCCCCAGCATGGCGAACCAGTGCTCGGTTCCCAGCACCATCCACCTGCCACGAGTTGGCCATCAGCCCTCTCTCACTGCTACCTTCCCAGTCACCAAGAAAGTCCCTTCTGGGTGCAGGACGTGGCAGAGAGCAGCCTGCCCCCTATGCCCCGGCCGCTCATTTACAAAGGAGCAGACGGGCTGCCCTGCCAGGCCATGGCCCAGACCCATCCTTTCCATTACAGCCCTCAGTAAGGCCATCCCCCAGCTCCAGAGCAGCCAGGACAAGCAGGCATGCTGCCAGCTCTCTGAGTCCCAGGCTTGCTTCCCCCTCCCGTGGGTTTGCATGGGAAGACCTGTCAGAACTATTTGTTCTCCAAGGGGGTGAAAGGTGCTCAGAGGACCGAGGGTTGGCTTTAGGATTAGGGAATCAGCTTTCCATTTTTCTTGCTGATGTTAACCTGCTCCATTTTACACTCGGTGCTTGGTCTCTGAAAGCTTTTAAAATCTAAAAGCTTGGTCTCACAAACCTTTTAAAATCTTGCTTGAAAACAGTAATAATGTACCTAATCCCAAATGCAAAGAAAGAAATTTTTCCCTGGGAAATGCCAAGGTGTTGCCAGGTGTCTTTATGGAATCCAGGAAGTAGGAAGGAACAGGGAATGAAGGAAAATGAGGACTAGCAGGACTTCCGTCTATAGGCTGAGCAGGCGCTGCCTTCCCTGGGGACGGTGCAGTGGGGAGCAGGCAGACACGCCAGAAAAGGGGTGAAAAACCAGTCACCCCGTGTCTCCCGAACCACTGCTGCCTTCCTCCCACAGGCCCCTCTCCCAGTTTCTGCACCTGGGGGCAAGGTCAGGGTCGGGCTCCAGGCAGTGGGGGGCCGATGACGCTGTAGGGCGGGGCCTCAGACCTCCTCATTCTTCAATCTCGGACCTGGGGCCCAGGGAGTGGGGTGACTTACTCCTTGTCTAGCAGCCCGTTGGGGCCTGGCTGGGAAACCCTTACTGTGGACGGCCAGTTCAGGGCGCTCTCCTGGGCCCAGTCCACTCCTGTGCCAAGAGGAGGCCGAGGTGGCTGTCACCCCCTTCTTCCGGGGTCCCCCACACCCTGTCAATGCAAACATCAGGCCGGCCTGGGGAAGCAGTCCCATCCACGTTCAAGGAAATGTCGTTTTATCTTTCTGGACTTTGTAACTGTTAGGGTGGGAATGGATTGGAAGTTCCGTTTCCTTGAGTGAAAAGATGGGTGAAAAGGCTGTGAAGCTGGTGGCATTCCCTTCCCACGACGCCACTGACCACCGAGGTGCTGGGAAAGGAGGGTGTTCTTGGTGCCACCTGCCCTTGTCCCTGCAGGCCGCCAGCTCGCTGGAGCCGACAGGGCCTCCACGGCCACCGCGGAGGAGACCGACATCGATGCAGTAGAGGCCCCGCCCCCAGGGAGCGACCTCCTGGAATTCAGCCGAGGCGTGACCGACCTGGACGCTGTGGGGAAGGAGGGAGGCTCCCGCACTGACGCCAAGGTAGGCGGCGGGCCGGGTGGTCTGCACCAGTGCTGCCTCCTGGGGTGAACCGGGTCACGGCCCCAGCCAGTCCGTGGCCCCCCAGCCCCCATGCAGAGCATGTTTCGTTCTCTTTAGCAGGGCCTGGCTGGAGGCTCAGGCGCGGGCAAGGGACGTGCCATGTGGCAGGAGACCACAGTGTTCCCTGTGGCGCTTCGCCCTCCGGGGCCCCATCGAGACCTGGTCCCCTTCTTCTCCCTGGAGGCCCTGCCCTTGGTGGCCCCCGTCCCTGCACAATAGCTGTGAAAGACGGGTCCTTGCATGCCTGCCATCCCCCCCGGGACTTGGCTGAGGGGCAGTTAGTCTGCCTCTCCCACCCCCCACTGTGCACGGTGCGACAGAGCCATGGGGCTGGCATTGGCCCCTTGGAGGTCAGAAGCTGAGAGGCCACCTCAGGTATCATCCACTCCATCCCCGTGTCTCGAGGCTGAGATGACGGAGGCCCCAGGGAGTTCATGATAGAATCCAGACTAAGAAACTAAGAATTTAGACCAAATTCTGACCTGAAAACTAAACAAAAATCCAGAAGGAAAATTCCGACAAATGGCCCTCCACTGTGGTCTCCAGCCAGTTGTCTGTGTCCTGGGCCTCTCCTTCCTCCCCACGCACAGGCGTTTTCTCAGGTGGACACTGTTCATCACAAAGGGAGGCCTGTCCAGTCTGGAGGGCAGTACAGTTCCAAAGCGTCACCTGGTACCTTCTCTGGGGCTGTTTGTCCTGTGCGAGTGGCAGAGCCCTGTCCTCGGACGCTGGCTCTTGCACGTGAAAGACGGATGAGCAGCAGAACTGCCAGAAACAAAATGCGCGTGCCCGCAGAGGGGTCTGTGCATCGTAGAGGCCGCCAGGGTGAAGGCATCCAACTATCCAGGGAGACGGCGAGGGGCAGAAACCGCTTTCAGCTAACAGAGGATCTGTCCGGACCATTCTGTTTGAAGGTCCCCTGTCCCCCCTGGTGGCTGTCACTGTGGGAAGTGGCTGGGGTGGGCTGGGGCCGCCCCAGGAGACACACGGCAGGCCTTGGGGAGGGAGTCCTAGGGCGCAGCGGAGTAAAGGGGTAGCTGCCTTCTTCCTGTTCTCCTGGTGGGGAGGCAGGTAGCCGTGGCCCATGGAAATAGATCCCCCTAAATCCAGAGCTTCAGGTAACGACAGCATGGCACAGTGGGCAGTGGTGGGCAAGGGGATGGTGCAGGCTGTCTGTCTCGTTACTGACGTGTCCTGGTAGGGTTGTCAGCCGATCCCCAGCTCAGGAGGTCACTTCGCCTCCCTCCGAGGGCCCTGTCCGTGTCTGTGGAGGACACGGTATGGCTGACCCTCGGTTCCCAGTGGGCCACCCCACCCCCGCGTGTGCACGCTGCGTGTTGCAGAGAGGCCCTGTAGCAGCTCTGCCCGGGGTCATCCCAGTCCTCTCTCCTCTCCAGGCCCCGCCGCACCCCCAGGAGCCCGTGCTGGCCGCCTCGCCCAGGATGCTCCTTCCCGCAGCCTGCTCGAAGCCCACGGGCGCGGGGACACCGCTGTCCACCCACCACCAGATGCAGCTCCTCCAGCAGCTCCTCCAGCAGCAGACGCAGCAGACGCAAGTGGCCGTGGCCCAGGTTCTCCTCAGCCTCCTCCCCTCCTCGCAGGCTCCACCCTCATGGGCTTGACGCTCCTCCCCTAGCCGGGGGCTCAGGGCAGGTTCAGCGCCTAGGGAGCCGCAGGGCTTGCTCATGCTGTTGGGTCGGGGCTTGTTGGGGGTGAGTGGGGGCGGCGGGAAGGGGAGAGGCAGTGGATGTGGTTGAACGGGGCAGAAGTGTCTTGGTTCCTGTGGAACCCCCGCTCTGAGCTGGGCTTGGCTGGCTTGGCTGGATGTTGGTGGACAGTGATGTGAACTTGGCTGAGGACTCGGGTGCGCCCAATTCTACCCCTCCTCTCCGGCCTTATTCTCCTGGCGTTTGGGGTGGGAAGGGACGCTCTCGGACGCAGGACAGGTGTGATGTTGTGGCGACTGTCTTAAAAGAGCCTTGACACCTGAATTTGCGCCCAGCACCCTTGCAGAGACTGCCACCCCGGCATCCCAGCGGCCTGTCCGAACAGGTTTCCACACCTCCATTAGTGATCTTCTCATTGCAGGCAGGATTTGATGCCATCCTGGCCTTAGCAGTCATCATAATGGAATTTAACCTGCAGGAACTTAGATGTAGTATTTGAACTGCAGTGGGAAGAACTGGCGTAGCTCTTGGGAGCAAAGCATTGTTTGAGTCCCAAAGGGTTCCTGTTGCTGACACTTTGTAGACCTGATTTGCCTCGCTGCTTTTAGTGGGATCCTACTTGCTTTCCCTGGAGGGCTTTGTGTTTCACATCGTCCTTGAAACTCACAGGTCTGAGCTTCACCTTCACTGGGACAACCAGTAATGCTGAAGATACATCCCTTGAAGCATTTAAAGGCTGAATCCTGACCTAAGAGTCAGAGACACCTGGGGGGGGTAGATGAAGACAGGAGGAGGGGCCTTCGGGCTGGGAGTGTCAGTGAAAGGTCTGGAAAGGCGCTTTGCACACGCACACGGGCATTCTCACTCCCTTTGACCAGACTCTCTGAGGTTTCCGTGCTCTACAATGGTGGGGAGCAGATTCTCCAGGGGGCACTTATTCCCACTGTTTCTTCTGCTTATTCTTATGACCTCCTGGCAGAGAGATCACCAGACAAAGCCGTCCTTTCCAGTGTGCACCTTGAGGGAGCTTCTGGCAGTTAGAGCTGGGTCTGGGGCAACTTGGGTCTTGACAAAACCTTATAACACGTTTTCACAGCGGACCTGGGCCTGAGGCACAAGGCCTCTAAGAGCCAGTTTTCCAAAGAGTGGAACCTGCCGGGCACGGCTCCTTGATGTTTCTTAAAAATTCTGACTGTGGAACAAACGTGTGCTGCTAAGAGGATTTACAAGTGTTCCCTAAACAGCAACAAGAAGAAGTGTCCTTAATGGTTTCTTATATTTTGGGGGAAAAAAATCATTGCTGTTTGTCTCCTAACAGAGTTCATCTCTAGTTAGTGACAGCGTGGTGGTCCCATGCACCTCCTCCGCTGGTGAACGCTGGCGGGAGCTCCCAGCCTGGGCCCTGTGCGACTCACATCCCTTCCAGAAGTTCCCACTGAATACAAATCCATTCTCTGACCTGAATACTTTCCTCTTCTAGCATATCAATTGCCAGTAATTATTATTTATCTAAAAATGGGCTTGTTGCATATTCATGATTATCAGGGAGGCATTTGAATTTGACGTCACTAGAAAGACACTACTTGCAAACGTATGCCCTCCACAGCAAGAGTGTTGTGGCCGCGTAAGGCAGCCTTCCGCCTGCAAAGCCACCAGGCCTTAAGTGACCTTGGGTTTATCACAAAGTGGTTCTCCGGGACAGCATCAAGCATCTGTCCAGTGGGATGTCACTGCCCTGCTCCCATTATAATTGCCTCTCTTGTGGAAGACAGAATGTGGGGGCGGGGGCAGGAAGGAGTGCGGTGCTTGCTCCAACCACTTATGCAGGCTGGGCACCCTCAGCCTCTGCCTTGGGATCTGCTGATTATCATTGGTGGTGCCCCGGTTGAGCCTCGGTTTGGGCCGTGACGTGATTGAAAGGCCACCACGGGGTGCTCACGTCACCCGTTGGTGAGCTGGCTTGAGTTGGTTGTGGACTTCCAAAATCTTCAGGTTGGACAGGACCTGGAGGCAATCAGGCTTCTTGAACATCCTCTCCTCCGCCTCCCCTTCCACCCCGTAAGCTGTCTCGGCCGCCTTAGGTTGGCATCTCCTTCGCTGCCCAGGAACGCAGCAGAGGTCTGTGGGTGCCGCTCAGCCCTTCTGCTCCTCTGCACTCCAGGTGGATTCAGTCCTCAGCTGTCCTTTCCTCATGTGCTTCTCTGCACACTCCTGGCCTTTCCACTCTGTCTCATTTGACCCAAGGGTTTTTTATTAGTATCCATATCTTTGGGTGAAAACAGTTATATCAGATATGTAGGTGGATTGACAGATAGGTCTCCCTGGTGTCTTTGACACATGCCCAGTAGATTAAGTCTGCTGTCCCTGGCTTCTCTGCTCGGTAGGATTGATTTCAGTGTCCAGCACTAGGTCAGCTTCCACTTGTTCTGTCAGACTCGATTGCCACCGAACTTCAAGGTTTCTGTCTGTCTGCGTGAAAACTACCAGCAGTCAGAATTTCAGTGGATAATACTGAGACCTCAGCATGGCAGGTGGGAACTCATTTTCCTTTTCCCTGGGAGCATCCGAGTCCCCAGGTGGCTCCTGGGAGGAGCTATGGACAAAGGCAGTTTCTTGCCAGCAGCGCTCTTGGGATCCCTGTTGCGTTATTTATGTCCCCTCCCTGCTACATTTACTCTCACAGGTCCATTTCGTTCTACTGTTACTACTGGGACGAGGCTTAGATCTCTTTCCTGGTGTTCTGATTTGGTCTCAGACCTCAAGACCTCTCCCAGCCTCTCCCTAAATTGGTTCAGAGCTGGTCTGGAAAGGGCCTGCCTGGTCTTAACCATACATGCCCAAAGGTGGTGTCCAGCCAACTCTTAAGCAGTTCTAATTCACCTCAGCGTGTAAATAGTGAATATTCAAGCCCTGTGACCATTTTGCTGACCTAGCATGAGGCTTACCTAGCTGCACTAGCTTCCTGCTTTTAGATGGACCAGAAGTTCAAGGGTGTGAACGAATATAACTAATCCTTGAACCAAAGCTGGGCTGTAGCTGGCACCTGCATGGCCGTGGGCAGGGCCTGTAGCTCCAGAACTGATCTGGGCACTGCGGCTGACTGGCAGTGGTTAATTGTGCCAGATTCCTTCACAGTTTGCCAATTCCTGTCCTAGCTCGTGAGAGAGATGAGAGCACATTGATTGCTATTTAAAGATTTCTCCTCTACCTGCTGCCGCTTGGGTTTGTTCTACAACCAAGTGATTGGTTACTTATGCTTTGCAATTGTGTGTGCTGTAGTTAGAGGCACAGGCTAGAAACACTCTGCCCCCCATCCCCAGGCCCTAGATTCAGCATCTGTCCCTGTGGCTTGTCCCAGTCCCCGGCACCCTTCCCAAGTCCCTGTGCCTTATGCATGCTGAGACAGCGCCGCCTGCCTCTGCTTGTCTGTCTGGTGTGTGTGGGGGCAAATTGCTCTGGTTCTCTCCACTGCCATTTCCACGTGCCTGCTGCTCCCTCACTTCAGCCTGGCCCTGCCCCCACCTCTCACGGAGGAGCTGGAGTCCAGGCAAGTAGGCTGGTGAGCGAGTGGGCAGTGGTCTGGTGTTGCTGGGTGGGGTGAGGGTGGGTGTCGTTTTCTAGAGCTGGAGGGTGTAGGGTTGGCCTTCGGCAGAGAGCCCTCCCACCCACTTCATCTGTGACTGCAGTAGTTGCAAAGCTCCAGAAGGGAAAAGCAAACTCACACCTTTTCCGAAATTAACATGGCCTACCTTTGCTAAAGGTATTTAATTCTTTAATTAAGAAAAATTTTCAGAATACAAATAAATATCTCACCTGGTTGGAGGAGGAGGAGGCAGGATCCACTCCCATTGTACAGTTAAGGGAGCAAGCACACAGCTATAGCAGCCTGCCCCCTGCCAGGGCTGAAAAGAACGCTCGCCGCCTCCTTTTCAGTGCTTCAGGGCCAGACCTACGTATGCAAAACACGGATAGTTAACTTGCCTCAAATTTAAAAGAAGTCCAGGCTGCTTGTTTCCACTTGGCCTGGTTTGGGTGTTCCCGTGGCACAAACTGCCAGAGCGGGAGGTCTGAGTCTTATGCCGATGCCACGCTGGACGGCCACAGACACAGAAGGGCCCAGTAGCTCTGGTCTCATCAGCGGCAGCAGCCTGTGCTTTCGCATTCCCAGGGTTTGAAAACGCCTGGAATGTTACAGCCCTGCAGTGCAGAGCCAACATTCTTATTTCATCTGGACCAGGAACACTCAAATTCAGGAGCATTTTCTCAGGGCACTTTGGGCCGGCAGATCTGTGAAGGAAGCCTTTGGTTCCAGGTGGTCTTTTATGCAGGACGGTCTTCCACCGCCGGTACGTCTTGGAACCTGCAAAAGAAGCTCCCAGCCATTTTTTTTCACCTGGTTTCTGCAGGCGGGTCCTCGTCTTTTGGTCCCCAGTTCTAGTTCTCTGACTTCACAGTGGGAGTCTAGGGATTTTCATCAGGGAGCCCTTGGCACATGGCGCCTGGAACTCACCCCTGCATCCATTTGGAATCATAGACCCTCTGAATCTCTAGGCTGCCCTCCTGGCTGAGAGATGGAGAAAGTGAACAGACTCAGACTTCCAGCCCCTGGTCCACTGCTCTCCAACGGCCTATTCTGTTGGGATGTTCAGATGTGGAATGCCGGTACCTGAGTCTGTAGTGTGTGTGCAAGGAGCCCTCCATAGATGCCATTTAGTGGCATGCGGAATTCCCTGCTTTCTCTGTTTACATGCATTGAAAATTTTGTTCCACATTTATAACATTTCTGTTTTATTCCAAAGGAAATAGAAACAGGATAATTAACAATTCTGTCAGCTCAGTAGATTCCTTTCAATGGTGTTCTGACGATAAGTTTATATTAGTCACAGATGAAGGGTTAAGGGTGGCCCTTCCTCTGGGGGCACTTCTGGGGGCTTCCCAGAACAATTGTCCTGTTCTTCAGAACCAACAGGATTTGGGGGACTCTTGGGTGAAATACCTCCATGCCTCAGTTTCCAAGGAAGACAAAAGCTTAAAGCTGAATAGTCATCCATGTTCTGATATCCAGACTAAATTATTACTGCCCCTGTTCTCAGCCCCCTCTAGTTCTTCCCTTAGTGTATATGAGGCTGCAAATGACGCCAATATCTTGACCAAACTATCAGTTCTGTCCTTAGCAGCACCTTACGGAGGACAAATTTAGATCCCTCCTGTCCCCTGCCCCCTGGGGAAAGACAGCCCAGCCACGGGGGCCTCTAATGGAAAGGGGTAACTGATTTCCTTAGTGGCCCCACTTCGTTAGGTTCAGAGCTGACTGCAAGGTCAGGTCCTTGGGTCTGGGCAGGTCGGAAGCGGCTGCATCCAGACTAGGTGTCTCCATTGCTGGTGGCTGGCAGGGACAGACACTGGGCTGCCGGGTCACTTGGTCAGGCTTGGCCAGGCAGTGAGCTGGACATGGTCTTTTACTCCCTGGTAAGATGTGAATCTCTTGGGAGCGAACTGCCCTTCAGCAGTCAAGAGCGTTTGCTGTCTGAGCCAGAGAGGCGGCTAGCTCCCCCAAATCCCCTTTCTCCACTCTCCTCCACTCCGCGATCTCCCTGTCCCGTCCCAGTCACCTGACTGTGTCTTTATGCACACGTTTGGGGCCAAGAAAACCCTTTTCCACAAGCTGCCGTGGTTCAGACCACCACATTCATTAGCTCCTTCTCTTCAGAGACCTTCTGAAACTGTAACGAAGGCCCCTTTATCCACCTCTAGCCAAAGAATCACACGTGTGAATGCTGTTATTACCTGTGGCTCAGTGTCCTCCAGCCAGGATCCTGATATAATCGCCCCACATCTCCTCCCCCTGAGTTTTATCCCCGCTCCCAGTTACACACCAGGAACAGACACCGCTGGCCCCAAGCATGTTGGCTGAGCCAGTGCCAGCCGCTCTGCCGGAAGAGGGTGCGAGAGTTGATGGGGGTCTGCTCCTCACAGAGGGTGGCTCTGTAAACTGTTCACCTCAGCTCTTTTGGGGTTTTGGACGAGCCCTTTTATGAGTCAGTCAACAAACATCTGACCCCATCAGGTATGAAGCCGGGACCTACTGCCATGGGAAATAGAAAGGGAGTGGACGATCCGGAAAGGAAGCTGACACCCACAGACATGGAGAGGCAGGCTTTATTATGTCCACCTCACTGATTCAGGGCATATGCAGGGCTTCTGTTTCCATGTTTGAGCATGAGGATGGGGGCAGGAGGGATTATATGAGGGTTTTCTGTGACGCTATTCTAAGTTAGTGGGTCAGTATGTCAGTTTTCATTCATGGGTTTTAAAAGACAAGATGAGACACAAGTATGTCCCTGGACACAGCAGTGTTGTGTGAACAGCCAAAGGAGTTCTGGCAGGAATGGAGTGCCAGGGTGGGGCCCTGAGTGAGTGACATGTCACAAGCCCTCACAAGACAGACAAAGTCAAGACAGTGACCCGGCTGCTTTGGCTTCTCCGAATCACAAGCCCAGGTGCCCCTTTTGCCCAGGCAGGGCTCCTTCATCTTGAATCGAACCCAGAAGTTGTGTTCGGTCCTGGCTGCCCACCAGCGACTCTCATTTGCATTCATGTCCCTCTTTCCTCTCTGTCCTGTTCCCTCTGCCCCTCTGCCTCTCCTCCTTTCTGCAGGTTCACTTGCTGAAGGACCAGCTGGCTGCCGAGGCTGCGGCACGGCTGGAGGCCCAGGCTCGCGTGCACCAGCTCTTGCTGCAGAATAAGGACATGCTGCAGCACATCTCCCTGCTGGTCAGGCAGGTGCAGGAGCTGGAGCTGAAGCTCTCGGGCCAGAACGCTAGTAAGTGAGGGCCCTGCCCCATCTTGCCTTCTGGAAAACACATGTGGAGGCTCTGGGAAACACATGTTCCTTGCCCGAAAGCTTTGGGGTGTTTTATTGGCCCCTGAGCTGCCCTGGTATTCTAGCAGAAAACAAAGGCATCTTTGTCCCATCCATGCACTTCATAGGATTACACGATGTCGGGGCCAGAGAAGGTCTTGGCTGCCTTCTAGTCCAGTGCCCAGACTCGACCTTGAGTGTCCCGGGAGTCCTGCCGCGTGGTCATCCACTCTCCTCAGTGGGGCCTTGGGCCCTCCAAATCCTAGGCAGCCCATTTATTAGAGGGCTTTTCCAGTTGAAATGTAAGCACCGGTGGTATGAGATGCTCTCTGAGCCTGTGGGAGGCATTGAACTACCTGTGGGGTGACAGTTTCTGCACTCCGTACTTCACGACTGTAGCGTGGAAGAGGCTGGTAGTGGTAGACCTACTCAATGAGTAAGGCAGAGGAGTAACTGGCCAGTTAGCCCTGCCGCTCCCTGGCAGAGTTGCCTGGCTCCCGCCCGAAATGCCTGCCTCTTGGCCAGCCGCCTCCAGGTGAGGGCGGCTGGGGCGGGGCGCTCCCACACCTTCCTCCTGAGCTGCTCTGCGTGCGGTGTGATGTTTTCAGTGCGTGGGCTGTGGACCAGCGCATGTCCGCTGGTTATCTCTTGTGCCAGATACTCCGATAGGATTCCATGTACATGATCTGAGCCCCATAGTGGTGATGTTACGCACATTTGACAGATGAGGAACTGGACGCAGAGAGGTTAGGTGACTAGCTCAAAGGTAAAGGACTAGCAAGGTGCGGAGTCGAGATTCAAACCCAGGCCCAAGTGCAAAACAAATGCTTTCCTTGTTGTTCCAGTAGTTCCCCAAACTATCCCATAAGGTTTTATTTGTTTTAATGTATATTCCCATGTCCAAACCGCAGAGATTATACATCATTAGATCTGGGCAGGGCTGGGACACTGCATTTGTAAAGCGCCCCAAAAATATGGATGGGGAACCCCTACCCTTCCCCACTACAGAAGCCTGTCTGAGTATTTATTTTTGTTTAACAACCCCTGCCCTATCCAATTCATGCCAGTTTACACGGTTGGACTAAAAGCTCTGGCATGCTTTCAACGCAGCCCCCTAGGGCTGTTTCCCTCCCCACACCCCTTCGGAGGCCTGTCCCTGGCACAGTGGGGGGCAGGACCGGGCGGAAGCAGAACCCCCAAGGGGTGGTCGGGGCGGCGGCCCCCCACCAGGCCGGGCTGACGCGGCCCCCTGTCGCCCTTGTCCCCCGCAGTGGGCTCCCAGGACAGCTTGCTGGAGATCACCTTCCGCTCCGGAGCGCTGCCCGTGCTCTGCGACCCCGCGACCCCCAGGCCGGAGGACCTGCCCTCGCCGCCCCTGGCCCCGCCAGCGGGCAGCCCCCTAGGTAGGCGCGAGCGCCTGGTGCGGCTGGAGTGCTTCCGCTTCCTCCCGCCCGGGGACACCCCGCCGCCGGCCCCGGGCGCCCCGCTGCTGGGCGGCCTGGAGCTGCTCAAGTTCCGGGAGTCCGGCATCGCCTCGGAGTACGAGTCCAACACGGACGAGAGCGAGGAGCGCGACTCGTGGTCGCAGGAGGAGCTGCCGCGCCTGCTGAACGTCCTGCCGCGGCAAGAGCCGGGCGACAGCCTGGACGACGAGATCGCCGTGTAGGGCCCGGGGCCCGGGGCGCAGGCGCGGGGCCGGCCGCAGGGTCGGCGGCTCCCGGGAGCATCGGGGTCTTGCTCGGAGGGAGAAGCGGGGGGAGTCGGGTTCCCGGGGGGCCGCAGCGGCGGGAAGGGCCGGGCCCTCCGGAGCCGCGCCCGGGGTGCCGCCCAGAGGCCCCCGCCCTCCCCGTCTCCGTGGTCCCGGCCCCGAGGGGGGCCGGCGGTACCTTCCCAGGGACTTGGAGGTTGCATCCCAGGATGCTGACCGCCCTGGGAGACCCTCCGCCTCCCGGCCCTTGCGGAGATGCTTGGCCTCGGATGGCCAGGGCAGCCTTGCCAGTGTGAGCGTGGGATGGGATGTGTGCCTCGCGTTGGGCACCCCTTCCGGATCCCCGCAGCGGGTGCTGGCTGCTGCTTCAGAAGAGACTAGGAGTCAGGACGGCGTGCAGGCCCTTGCGGGGAATGCCCGCGGGGAGGACAGCCTCTGCTGCCACCCGTCCTTAGGACCGACTGCTGCCCGCCAGCCCAGCCCGTCCACACGGAGGCGGGGAAGTGGCCCCCTTACGTCCTTGTGTCCTGCCTCAGGGGCTGGGCCAGCTGAAGCTTCTCTAACACTCGCCTCTATGAAAGCCTCAGAGACCTAAAGCCCCCGAGCCCCCAGCCTTACCTCTCAACCTGTCCCTCCCCTGGGCAGTGGCCAGCTTTTACTGCAAGAGGGAAAAAGCAAGCAAACACAGGCTAGGAGCTGAGACTGCTTATGTCCGTGCCACAGCCACTGTCCCCTTTGCCCCGTCTGTGGGTGCAGGCCTCGATCTCACCTGTCACTGTGCCACGTGTCAGTCCCTTTTACCATCCAGGCGCTGCCTAGAGTCAGTCCCCCGGCACAGTAGGCTGACGGTTACAAGGACAAGTTCCTTTCACTCCCGTAAGGCCAGAAGCGGCTGTTAACATTTAAAGATGCTGAAGACAGAGCTGAGATACCCTGGCATTGTGTGTTGGGGAAATAAGTCTTCATCCTGGACCACAAGCTACAGGCCCAGACTGCAGTGTGATTTCAGGGCCAGCTGGTAAGGATGGGGTTGCTCCAAAGTGGAGTCCTTCAACCCTGACTACGCTTTACAATTTATGCAGATGGAAGTGCAGCCCTTTCCTTATACATTTGGGTTTCTTCGAGACAAGAAAGTCCACATGAGGGGAAATCAATGCAGCTTTATGTTAGCCTGCCTTGGTGCACTAGGGTGTCAGTGGATGGATGTGTGTGTGTGTGAGAGAGAGAGAGAGAGAGAGAAGGTGCATACGTTATGTCTGACTTGTGAGAGGGAAGGAAATCGGGATCTTTATGGAGTGTTTGGGTCAACAACAGATTTGTGTTCTTTTCCTAATGTGCATTTAGTTGCAGACGGGTGGTTCTGTTGATTGTGATATATTTTCTAATTAACCACTGGGAGTGGATCCAGATACACAGGGGAGGGAAGAACCGGGAAAGTGAGAAACTGAAGGAGTGGTATCAGGGTCCAGTTTTTGGCTGAGCCTCACTGGCTTACAAAATCCTGACCCGGGTCCCTTGGGTGGCATCAGTCATTCCTCTCAGGTCATTAGGCTTTTGGGTGTCCAGAGGAGAGAAGGGCCGGCTTCTCCAGGCCCACTGCCTGCAAACAGGAGCTGAGGATCCTGCCGGAGGCCAGTGGATTAGGTGCATGGAGTGTGGTAGGAGAGGCTTGTGTGGGGTGCAGTGAGGAGTTGGGGGAGGGCGGGTGGAATAGTCCCTAAAAGGTCTTTAAAAAGCTTGCAGAGGGCAAGGGGGAGGAAATGAAGGTTAAGGAGTTGCAGCCTAGTCATCTGTACTGCCGACGTGGGACCCAGTCGAGGCCCTTGCCGTTGAGTGCTCTGTGGTGGTTTCCCCTGCCTCCGCCCATCCTTTGGGCCACACCTTTTGGGGTGTTCACGCCCCCACCCCCCCCGGAGCACTGGTTCGTGTATCTGGCATCTCCCCAGTGTGACCCAAAGCAGCACACGCTGGCTGTGTGGAGATGGGAGGCCAAGGACAGATCTAGGGGCCTGAGAGGGTCCCCAGCCACTGGGCAGGAAAGACCTGATTTCCCGGCGATGTCACCCTGTCCTTTCCCGCCTTGCTTCTTGCTTCGCTAGCTCTGCTGTCCTCTTCTTCTTCCTTGTACTCTGCCCTGTACGGAGGACACAGGGACACCAGGGGCACCTACCAGGGTGGCAGCTGCCCCAGGTGGCAGCAAACTTTGGGCAGTGAGGCCGGCACAGGTGTGGAGCCAGGAGGGCGCTTCTCTGCGCAGGACAGACTGCCTGGTGAGGTGACAAAGACTCTCCTGCCCCTGCCCCTGTCCCTGCTCTCTGCAAGGCCCCATGGCCTCCCCTCTCGCAGCTGCTTCTGTTTAGTTGTGTCCCTTTGATTGACTCTTTGCCTGACTGTGTCCTCCTGACCCTCTACTTCTTCCTGAAACTATTTTGTGTCATTAACTCTGTTGGATCAACTCTGGGCAAAGATTCTGTTCATGTAAGTGCACTTACTCCATGGATGTCGTCACTAGTCTGATGGCTTTTTGCTAAATAAACCTTTCTTATTTCTAAAAGCTTTTCCATTGTCTCTTCTTGCTGCTTCTGGTCCCCCCACTCCTTCCTTCTCACTTCCACCCCCTACGTCCCCAGCCAGGTGGGATCAGCTCTGGGCCACGCAGTTCTCAGGGGTGAGGGGTTTAGAAAGAATTTTCATATTTCCCCGGAGAGTCGGCGAAGGGGGTGCTGTCAGTGGCTGCTGATATAGACCAGTCTTGCAAGATCAGGCTATGCTGTGGTTCTTATCTGGGGACAGTCTGCTTCCCCAGGGGATGTTTGGCAACATCTGGAGATGTTTTTGGTTGTCCCAACTCGGGGAGGGATGCGATTGGCAGGTAGTGGGTGGAGGTCAGGGAGGTTAGCTGCCCGCAGTAGGGACTTAGCCAGCACAAATGTTGGTAGCGCTGAGGATGAGAATCCCTAGTCTGAACCCATTTTTTGAGACTCCACGTCTTTTCAAGCTCCAAACATTATTGGAATACAAGGCAATAAAAGTGATTTTGAGTGCTGGAGAAAGTCCGACATCATAGATACAGATATTTGCAGATATAACTAAGATCCTCCAGATGGTAACATTTCACTGATTCCCTGACTGTCTGAAATACGTAGTTGGTAGGATTGTGAATGGGCCCCATTCCAGAAATGTTGCCCTGTAGGTAAAACAGGCTCCTCCCACCCCTGCCTGGAAGGGTCGTGGTGCCACTGCAACGCAGCACAGCAGAGAAGTCTTGGCTCACTGGGGTGTGGGCGTTCCCGACAGGAGGAATTAACAGGGCGGGATGCTGGTCAAGGAGAGGGTGTTGGCGGAACAGGCGTTGCAGGATCTCGCAAAACCCACACGGCGGAACCCAGATTACTTTGGCCAGAACTTTTAGCAGTTTTGAGGCAGAGGGTTTGTGAAGCCTGATACTTTGGCCCAGGTCTGAGGGGAAGTTGGGAGGGTCAGATTAACCCAGTTCACATGCCCTCTGCCCTTTTCTGGCTGGGTAAACTGAGCCTCATTTTCTTATCTGTAAAATGGATGAAATGCACCAGATAAAGCCGTAATGAAGAGCATATGAGGTCGCCTTTTGCGAGTGCCCAGCAGAGTGCCTGGCAGAGGCCCTGGGCACAGCACAGCTCGCCTTCCAGTTGACGGGAGTAGGTGGTCATGCTTGTGCTGGGTGCGTTTCCAGCTGCTATGAGACGCTCAGAACTCTGTAGAAGTTTCTGGGGTCATAATGATGCTTCATTAAATGTGAAGGGTGGAAGCACCTTGTCCTCAGGGAGAAAACACTAAGCACCTGCTAGGCATCCCTAGGCATGTGCTGTGACCCTTGGGCTCAGTGCCGGCCGTTGGGGGGCTCTTCCCCCTCTCTAGTGTGTGCTGTGCTATGATATCGGATACCCTGGGGAAGAAGCCTAGACAGAGTGTTTGAGACCAGAGGAGGCAGTTCCTCTCCTGGTTCTCGCATGGACCACGGTGAGCAGCTTCACTGTGCCCCACCCTTTGTGCTCCCCTCCATGGGCTCCCCCAAGAGCCCCATCAGGGGGGCTCCAGTGCCTGGTGACATGGGTAAGAAGTCTGCCAGGACTCAGGTGGCTTTTATGGAACTAAATATATGCCCAGAGTCATTCGTCTGCTTCCTGAATGAACCAGGTCCAGGGAGGGGTATCAGGGCGGCCTAGAGACCACCCCACCCCAGAGGTGACAGGGCGGGACCCTGCCTGTCCTGGCCCAGCTGGAGCTTGCAGTCAAGTAGATTCTTGGACTCTGGGCAGGTGGGGGGTGTGGAAAGAGCTGGGTGAGGAGCAGGGGATGGGCTGCAGGGCAGGGAGTGGCTCGGTGGCATGGGACATGAAGGGCTTTGAGCCCCGCCCCTCTCACAGAAGACCCCGATGGTCTTTTAGCAGGACAGTGATAAGCAGAAGCTGCTCTAAACCATGGGTTGGCTTTGGAAAGACTGGCCGTCTGACCTCTGGAAGGGAATGGGGAGCTCCTCCACCCCAGCCTGGTGGCCAGCAGTAGGGGGCAGAGACCAAGGAAGGGTCCAGGGTCCCTGAAGGGAAAAGCCCACTGCGGTGAGAGGGCCCGCTGAGTTACTGGGCAGATGAGCGATAAATAAGGCCATCAAGCACCCACGTCTTCTTCCTTTTTCAGAAACCACATGATGGGCAAAGCCCATGTCCTGCATCCCTGGTGCTCGCCCAGTTTTCTGGGTCAGAGTTGGCAGTGAGGCCTGCTCAGAAATGTAAGGGTCAGGGCTGTCTGGTGGCACACGACTTGTAATAGGAAACTGTTTTGTTGCCCAATTTGACATGACTCAATGCAGCCATGTAAAGTTGCCCCCCCGGGTCAAAAATGATTCTGTTCTGCTTCAGCAAGAGATGCCCCTTCTGAGTGAAGGATTGAGGTGGAGGTGGGGTGAGGTGGGGTGGGCCCAGGTGGGCCCAGCCCTGTTTGCCTCTTTACTGCCTTACAGGAGCAGGCCGTTCTCCCCATTCCCCCCTCAGAAGATCTAACATCCAGGCAGCTTTTAGACTGCAGAGATTCTGCCAACAGGAAAGTGCATTCAGCCCTCCTCTCCTGGTCTGAGCCCCCGCCCTGGGATCGGGCAGGGACTAGTCACATCCCCCGGGTGTGAGCCCCTATTGTGGGGTTAGGCAGGGACTGGTCACATCCCCCGGGTGTGAGCCCCCGCCGCGGTGTGGGGCAGGGACTGGTCACATCCCCCGGGTGTGAGCCCCCGCCGCAGTGTGGGGCAGGGACAGGTCACATCCCTCCGGTGTGAGCCCCCGCCGCGGTGTGGGGCAAGGACTGGTCACATCCCCTGGGTGTGAGCCCCCGTGTCACCCAGGGACCCAACAGGAAGGCCAGGGCTCCGGGCAGTGACTCTCATACTTGAGTTGCATCAGAATCACCTGAAGGCCCGGTTCCCTCACAGATGCTGAGCCCCCAGAGTGAGTAGGTCTGATGGAGATTCTAACACATTCCCAGGGGAAGCTGACGCGGCTCATCTGCCTCACTTTGAGAACCACCATCTTAGAGGATATTCCCAAACTTCAGGTTTTGTCTGTAGAAGCGGAGGGGATGGGGGGCAGGGAGAAGGGGGTGGTGTTGCTGGGCAGCTCTTAGCCAGAGGGGAGTGGGGTGGGACCAGAGGCTGGACGGCAGGTGACCTCACACTTGGTAGAAGGCTGCAACTAACTTTGGTTGATTGACATCTCTCTGGAGACACGAATAGGCTTCATCCCCAATTTATCTGAGCTGCCAACTAACAGACAGCTGCTGCCAGCAGGTGGGACTACTTGAAGGCCTGGCTGCTGCACCCGGAGGGCGTGTCCCCAGGCCACGCCCTCCCCTTGGCCCAGTAGGCCTTGAGCTTGCGGTAGTGCACCCTGCAGCTGAAGCCCTCCTTGAAACCCCACTTGACGTGACTCTTGAGGGAGTGCAGGGTGGGGTACATGCGGCAGCAGGCTGCGCACTTGTAGCCGTTCTGCTGGACCTGGTACCACTTGGAGGCCATCAGGATGTCCTGGGTTGTGATGGAGTCCCCGGGGTCCTGGCCGTGCCTGGATTTCTCGGTGGCCCCTCGGGGGCAGGGGTTCTCTGCGGAGGAAGAAGACGAGGGGCTGCTCCTGGCCGGGTCCTCGGGAAGGCGAGGTCTCCCCTCGGGGAGGCCGTAGGTCTCCAGGTGGCTGCCTTTGTCCGTGCAGATGAAGTAGCTGTACGGGGAGAACCAGGGCCGGTAGATGGCGCAGTTCCGCCTCAGCTGCTCCCCGTTCTGAGGGTCTCCCAGGACGCCGTCTGCAGGGGAAAGGGCTGCATGTCAGCTTCAGGGGGCTGGAGGCCGTGGGGAGGAGCAGACTGGCAGGTGGGCTGGTGTGACACCAGGTTGCCTCCACCCCCTGCACTGCGGTCCTGGGAGCCGGAGAGGGCAGGGCGGGGCCGCAGTCTAAGGCGCAGTGCCCTCCTGCTGCTCGCTTTTCCTGCTGGCCCAAGGGGCAGTGTGGGTAGACACTCCCCTTTGGTGACTAGGCTGTGGCATCTGTCAGGCCTGCCCTCCCTGCAGACACGTTTCCTCTGCCTCCTCTAAGGGTAGACAGGTGGCTCGGCGCACAGCCAGACCTCTGGCCTCCGACAGTCCCTCTTTCCTCCATCACTGGGGTGGCCGTTTTTCCAGCCTCACTATCTTCCTGCACCAGCCCACTCAGGCAGAAAATGCTCTTCATACCAGCTTGAGACAGGACAAGAGAAGCAGGGGACCCCCCAGGCCTCCGAAGGGCCAGAGAGGAGACTCCTGGGGAAGGCAGGGGGCGGCCTCTGAACTCCCCAGCTTTTCACACATGTCCACTCGGGGCCAGAGCCTCACCTGGTAAGAGCACCGTGTCACGCACACTGTGCCAGACTGCCCTGCCGTGGAACTGCCGTGGCAGGGCCTGAGCTGGGCTGGACGCCTCCACCAGAAACACAGTCTTTGTGATGTCTGGGTTAGAGAAGAAACGCTCTGGTGAGCTGAGCAAGCTTGGTAGTCCTCTTCTCAGGACTCCCCAAGACATACCTAGGGGCTCAGCCTTGAAATTTTAAGACATTGCAAGGCCGAAGCAAAAACAGTGACCTCTCCTGAGCACGCAGACAGGCGGACCTATCTGGCTGGCATCCTGGGGAATTCAGGAAGGGCACTTTCATGGAGACCTGAGAGCACGCCTCTCCAAAAGACAGTTTAAGAGTTGCATACCGGAAAGAAGACAGCTTTCTGCCTGGACTGCCTCTCGACCTCCCATAGCTCACTGTGTGTGTGTGTGTGTGTGCATGCTCGTATGTGCTCATGTGTGTTCGTGTTCTGCCTGGCCCCCAACCTTCTGCAGCTTAGTGTCTGTCTGTCTGCAGAGCCCAGGGAAGGGAGTCTGCTCATGGGCTGCGTGGCCATGTCACATGGTTCCTTCGAGGGCCAGAGGCTGGTTTCTCCAATGGCAACATCTCCCACCTAGTTGCCTGCCACCCCCTGTGTGGCTGCTAATGCTGGATAAAAAGCCGACTTACCTCAATCCCAGAGCAGTAGCTGCTCTCAGTTTGGGAAACAGACATATAAAATTGTCCTGTGTATAGGCACGTGGATGTTCAGAATAACCTGGAGAGAGCTATTGCTTAAACTTTACTGTGCACTGGAATCACCTGGAGATCTAGTTAGGCAGATTTTGACTCAGCGGCTCTGGGATCAGCGTGACACCCCGCATTTCTGACAGGCTCCCAGGTAATGCTGATGTTCGGGCCAACAGGCCATACTTGGAATGGGAAGTCATCAGAGCACCCAACTGTCCATGCGCACCCATCAGTTATTCTGCTGAACCCATCAGGTTCCTGCTGTTGGATTGAGACGTCTAGATCTTCTCCAGCTTGTCGGACAAAACGGCTAACACCAGCGCATACTCCACACAGACAGACTGACACCTTGAGATGTCACGTGGATTCTAGAGGAAAAACTTGACAGCCAATGTCTCCCTCATTCTTTCCTTGCCAGAAATGAGTAAGCAGCAGGAACTACTTACCAAGAAAGCCGAATTTTGAAAAATCATTTTCTCCCCATGTATAATTTGACTTTCTCACTAAATCGTGCTCCTCTAACATGATCTGGTAGAGTACTCAACTGAAACTTCAAAAAAAAGAAGACCTCATGGCCCCCAAATTTACCTGGCAAGCTGGTGCCATGTGAAGACGTAATGTTAGGGAAAGTGCTCAGGACCGAGGAAGAGATTTGAGGTTCAGAAATGCTAAGGAGAGAGAACTTCTCCATATTTCTGCTCTAGTGTGTGGAGATCATAACCTGCTCCCAAGACTCTGGTTGGGTTGTCCGGACAATAAACATTCTGAGCAGGTGACAGCATAATGTCACATGATTCCACTCACCAGCTAGGTCATCCCTTTCAAAGATGGATAGAATCCATCTCGATCTTTAAAGATTATTATTTTGGACTTGCGGTTCCTCAGTGGCCTGCTTTGCGAACATCCCCAAAGAATGAAGGCTATTAGAGATACATGGCAGTGATGGGATCTGTCTGCCTTGCTTAGTTCCTTAGAGTCACTTTTTTGTGTCATTGCTGTCAGCACCCCCAGTCCTGGAAACCTCTGCCCTCTCTGAATACCCACCATGCTTTGCTTGGCCATTGTCTGCCTTACCTCTGCCACCGAATGTTTTGGTTATTTCACTTTCTGTTCTTTGGTTTGCAGTATTTTCTTTGGAAATAAATTTCAAACTTACGAAAATTTACAAAAATAAGATTAGTACAGAGGACATGCATATTCCTGGCATCCAGATTTCCCTGTTAATTTTACCTTTATCAGTTACCTCCCTCCATCTCTGTGTGTGTGTGTGCATTTTTTTTTTCTGAGCTACTTGAAGGTAAGTTACAAATATAATGCCCCTTCATGCCAAATACTTCACTGTGGACTCCTAAGAATAGGGGCCAGATACTGTTTTAAATGGTTTGTATTGTCTGTTTTTTTTAGCAGTTGACTAAAATGCAAATGGTGGCTTGCTTAACACCATTTTGCTCACTATAAGCAATTTTCTGGGGAGACTATGAACTTGAGTGGCAAGGGTGCCTCTTTGCCCCTCTTTGGTAAATCAGCAGCCTAGTGCACAAAGGGATGTGGAATAAGGATATAGGATGTTCATGCCACGTTGAAAATAAGATGAAGATGTTCATTCTCTACAATCCCACAGGTGTCAACTAAATGCATACAGTGAGTTAGATCTGCACTATCGTGGGTGTGTTTATGCCGTGGGAAAGGTCTGTCCCCCTGAGTAGCAGTGGGCTCATCTTGCAAGTGTGCGAAGCGATGTGGGCAAGCTTCTGCATTTGAGAGCTGGAGTTGTCTTGGTGTCTGTATTTATTCACAGCACTTAAACATTTGCAGAACAGTGTGAAGAATGTGATTTCCTCATGTGCTTCCCCCCTAGCCTGGTTTGGGACGGTAGAATGAGTTGGAATGTGAATTGATGTCATATGTGTCGGTAACTTTGAGGGTGTCAGCAGTTTGATCTGGCCATCGTGGGGTAGAGAAAGGCCTTGGGTCTGGGAGGCAGCGTGGGGGTTCTAATCCCTGTTCTGCCATCAGCTCCCTGTATGTTATTAGGCAAACCTCTCTGCCGCCTGGTTTCCCCCTTTGGTTAATTTAGACAGTTGGAGTGGAAGAAAATCTTCCCGCTCTAAAAACCTAGTGATTTACATGTGTAAGTGAGACAGCAGGGAAATGAGCGATGCGTCCAGGATCCAGAAAACTGAGGTGCATCCTACCTTGGCCCATTGGCATCTTCCCACTGCCAGCTAGGAACTTTGGGTATACTTCATGGAAAGGGGGCTCCAAATGTTGGCAGAAATATGGCCAGTCGCATTAAAGTGGCTATTTGTAGAGTGTTTTAAACAAAACCCTGTGTTGGTTTAGTTACTGAAAAGTTTATGGGAGCCTGGCTATCCAGGGTTTGTCACACTCCTGGTGTCAGGGCCTCTGTCTTTACACTATATCCTCGTGGTAGGTTGTTACTGGAGGCCCGGGCAGGAGGTGACACTCCCAAAGTGATGGGTCACTACATAAAATGTCTCTCTCTCTCGTTTGTTTCCCACCTGCTTTCCGAGCTCCTTTCTCGGACAGGTAAGATACCGTCTTTCTTATGAATGATGCTCCCCTCTGCTTGGATGTGTGCATGTTGCAGGGTGCTGTTGGGAGGGCCACCCACCCAGCCGGGGTCCAGCCATCCTTCTTTCCACCATCGCCATTATTTTCTGAACCACCAAGCCTCTAAGTCTCGGGGAAGGCGGAGACGACAGTGTGTGGATCTTAATTAATGCCATAAGCGGGAGGGGCTCACAGCACATCCCTTGGATGTGGAGATGAAGGAACCCCCAGTTAAGTCCCACTTTGGAAAGGACAATTCCTCCTGGACTGACCTCAAGGGTCCCTACAGACCTCTCCCAGAGGGGGATTTTGAGTGGCTTTTGTAATAGACAAAGGCTCGGAAATTGTTTCTCTACAGTGTCAGCCCATAATGCAGTCAGTTTCTAAGTATTCATATAAAAAGCCAATTCTATTAAACTAACTTATTAAATGCCCACTGTTTAGCAAGCCCTGTGCAGAGCATTATAGAAATAAAAATCACCGAAGATGCTACCTCCCCCGAGGAGCTTACCACTTTCTTATAGAGACAAGGTGTATTTGCCAGAAGGACTTGGAGAATTGTAAAAAGTTTAAAGAAGGGCTATCTTCAAATTAAGAACTTGGTGTATACATTCTGAAGGGCAGAGAGGAAGGAGTACAGGGAATATAAAATGGTACATAATACAAAAGTTGTATGTTTATTAGTATGTGTTTTTAAAATAATCATAAAAGGGGTTCCCAATTCACAAATCATTTTAACAGGTGTTTTTGGAACTTTTATTAGAAATGAGTGTGTCTGCTCTGAAATTTCACTTTAAACTAATAAGGAAACCATCATGGAAATATCTGTGCCAGGAAATAGGGTAAAGGGATGGGCATTTGCCTTCCCTGGTAATACCTCTCTTGAATATTCACTCTGGTTGCATGGTGGCCCAAATACTTTCTCGTTGAGGGGGAAATGAAATGTCTTCGTTTCCAAGGGCTTCTCTGCCAATTTGCAGATTTTATGATAAAAGAAAAATTAGAGGGCTGTGGGACGTGACAGGGAAGTCACACCGAAGTGGATAACATAGCCCGAGCCTCTCTCGGGAGAAGAATCAGGAGCCGATGACCATGTTGTAGGCGGGCCGGGAACCCCTGCTAGTGGGAGGGGTCTTGCTTGGTGGTGCTCATCCTGCACATGGGCTGGGAGCGGTTGCAAAGGTAAAAACTGGGGGGTTCGTCTGCAGGGGGGATTCCTATTCTTCCCACAACTTCTGCCCAAGATCTTTACTAGAGTATGGCTTCTCTAGATAATTGGCTCAGAAGGGGTGCCTCTGCTGAAACCACAGTGAAAGTAATGTTCCCCCAAGCCCAGGACTCAGCAGCGCGGGGCAGAGAGAACTGCCTTATGCAGAAGTGCAGCAAAACAAAAAGACATGCTAACCTCAGTGACTCTTAGGAAGGGTCACTGAGAAAATGCCCTTAGCAGAAGTAACAGCAAGGAGAGGCATCTGTGACCACAGAAAGCCTCATCTTCCCCCGGGTTGAAAAAGTAGCTAGAGTGGTTGGTGAGACGGAACCTCAAGCCCACCTCCAAGGCCCCAGAGTGGCTGTGGCTACCTTGGACACTGAGCTGGCTTTCCGGGCGGGAGCGTGTACCGACAGCATGGCGTGGCTTAGAGCCCTGAGCTCTGGCTGTTGCAGCTACAAGGCTTGGAGCTACAATCTTGGCCTCTGCAATTTTCCGTCAGCAAAATGGGTTGGGCAATTCAAGATATTTATTGAGCACCTACTGTGTACCCCAGACCCAGGCTAGCTGTTCAAGATGCAAAGATGAATGAGACATGGCCTCTGCCCTGCAAATGCTTACAACCTAGTGGGTCTATACCCAGCCCTTTGAGTTAATCGTTTGAGCCCAAGAAAGGCCCCCGGGAGGGACTGTCTACAAGGTGTATGTAGGCCGCTGTTCCATGGTCCAAGGCAAAGCAGTAGAAGAGCCATGGGTTTTGGGTGAGGAAACCTGCGTTCTGGTTCTGGTCCCCTCCCCACCCCCGGTCAGTGGCTCTGTGACTGCAGGCCCAGCAGTTGGTCACTCTGAGCCCAGTGGTCCTCACCTGTGCACAGGAGCCCTACCTGCCCTGCCTCGCTGGCTGCTGTGCAGACGGAACGGGTACGTGTTGGGCTCCCGCTTCATCTTCCTTGGCACGGAGCATGTGTCTGTTGGTGTGAACCATCTGAACCCCTACCTGGCATGTCACTGCATACAACTGACCTGTTCTTAGTTCCCCCTCAGGAGAAGGGAGCCACGGCTGGCCTATTTCTCCACGTGGAAAACGTGCTACATCGGTGTCTTTCCAGTGGGTAACTTACAGCCCCAGGCCGCCTCCTCCAGCTCGTCCCAATGCTTTTGTCAGAGGCTTCGGCATGTGTGCACCCCAGCATAAACATGCTGTATTTCATTGCTTCCTTACTCCAGCGGGCTTGGTGACCCCAAAGTAAGGGTCAAGCCTGGAGTCAAGGAGACAGGTTTAAAGGGATCAGTTATGTTAAAGTTTATGGTTAGTGTTCATCACTGATTACCTTGGGTGGGGGCAGACCTAGAATTTCCAGCCCCACCTCCCCTGGGGTATATTGGATTGGAAGGCTCGGGAGTGTCTTTGCCTTCCCACTCTTGAATATTTCCAGAGCCTTATGGAGTTGTGGGCATGGGGTAAGGAGAGGACAAGCAGAGTGAGAGAGCCAGAGGCCCCACTGACCTCTACTCACCGTCTCTGTCTTCCCCTTTGTTCCTAGTGGACCATGGCATGTTTGAGAATCTGAACACAGCCCTCACTCCAGAGCTCCAGCCAAGCTGCCCCTTCCCCCGCCTGTCCAGGCCGGCGGCCCCCAGCTCTGGAGCCCCGGGACTCCGGGTGGGCAGCAGCCAGCATCTCAGGAGCCTGGGTAAAGCCGCGGGGGCCCAAGTTAACGACTTCCTGCGCAGAAAAGAGGCCTGGAGCCTGAGCGGTGTGGGCACGATGGAGGTCAACAAGACCGCGGGGGCCCTGCTGGCCGGCGGGGCTGACCTGGGGGACGAGAGGTGAGCACATCCCCATCCCCCGACACGCCCTCGACTCTGTGCACCCCCTTGATCAGACCCGGGGCATCTCCAGCAGA